CTGTTTGAACCCGTTCGCTTCCAAAAGCTGATGACTTGGATGCTGAAATGGAGGGAAGGACTTTGGCATAGACCCCACAGGGGGGCTGCTTCCAGTAACTGTATTGCTTCCAGAATGGACTCCATGTGGAGAAGCACTCAGTTTTGAAGATGTCAGGCTGTGAAAATAATTAAAGAAAAAATCACTATTATTGATATTTTATTCTTTGAAAATTTTATCCAAATAACTGTTCGAAGAAGCAAGAAGTTTTTTAAATAAAAAATTCAACTTTACTATCACTAGGAAAGACGCAACTGCCCATACCCATCAATGACTCCAATGGGAAAGGAAACCAAAGTCCATTGGACCACAATGTTCCACAGTCAATTGGAATCATCACGATCTAATGAAATGATGGATGGTAGAGAGGGAGTGTGTGACTCTCCAAAAGAGGGAATCAGCCTCATATGGGGGATCCCACTGTCTTGCACACATCATCCATAATTTAAACAGATAATGATTACCCTAATAACTATGGTTTCCCATATTCCACAAGCTTATACCATAAAATAAAAATTAAAAATAAATAAAAATAAAAAAATGACTACAAAATTCCAACTTCGATGTTTTTAAGGCAAGATGCAACCGCCCAAACTCATACGCCACCTAAAAAAAGATAACTTAATAAATAAATAAATAAATAAAAGAACTCACCAGTGGCTTTCAGGAGGTGTAGACCCAAAGAAAAACCCAATTGAAGTACTGGGAGGACTTTCAGATATAATTCCCTGGCGATTGTTACGACCAATATTTTGGTTCCTAAGATTGCTAGGAAATAAACGCTGATTATGTAATGTGTGTGACTTGTTCGAGCCTTTGTTTCTCCTACGAGAATTAGAATGGCCAGTCTCTTCTAACCCATGGTAACCACCAAAACCTTGATTGAGTTTCGAACCTGACAATCCAGGATTAGGACCAGTGGATCTATGATCGCCGTCCCTTGTTTCGATACCAAACTGACTCCTCTTGCCACCACCAGATCGGCTAGCTTGTAATTCCTACCAAACAGTAAATCAGCAACGAAATATTTTTTTTCAAAATTCACACACCAAGTAAACCCCTCCTCCCTCCCTCCCACATGCACGCACGCACGCACATGCGAACAGGTGTGTGGGCACACACAGAAGCACATGCACGCACGAACGCACGCACCACACACCACACACACCCTAGGACAACTTATTTCTTCATGTTTCAGACCAATTTCTAGGTGAAGATTTTACTTAAAGAAAATTATGTCAAATTCTAACTATCAACCAAAAAATTGTCTAAGAAGAAACTAGATTGCAAATAACCATATAATCTATCAGCCATACAAACCTGTTCATAAAAATAGAGGCCATCATTGATTGCAGTTACAAGCTCATTTGAGATGACTGCTGACTCCCTTGCATCAGCTCTGTCACCCTCACTTAACTTAATATTCTGCAGAGCACATCAAAAACATTAGAGTACCATACAAACTCATTGCCTAGGTACCATTCTGACATTCAAAAAAGAAAGAATAAATGACTTCAACCATGGCAAACCATCAACAAAGATGCAGGGATTTTCAACTTAATTGCTGGTATAGCACCAGGGAACTCATTCTCTTTTTACTTGAAAGCCATAGCAAAAGAGAATTCTATCAAGGAAAAACCTAATCCTAGGACAACAATCATTCGCTACTATTTCTAGTACAGATATTAGCACTACCACTACTATTATCTGTCAGAGTGATTCATGATTTTCTTTTGATTATGACAATATACTGATACCACTCTGTCCATTCATAATGCACAAGGTAAATAAACAAAGAGCAATTCAGGACAATAGGAACGCCTTTTCATTATGGACAACTTTTATTGTTGAGTTAGTAAAGTAAATGGTCTATATCCATGAAGTAGCTTAAGCTATAATGAGGGAACAAATCCCCACAATCCAAGAAATCGTAAAAGCCAAATCGCAGGCTGCTTCATGAGTTACTCCATACACATGTTCGAATAAGATCTCCAAAGAGCCAACAATATCCAGAAGCAACATTGCAGCTGTAAGGCCCCCGTTGTCGAAGGAAAATCCTGCTCATCCATCAAATCACATTCGGTGAATACCCTTCACAGTAAGGGGTTCAGAAAGCAATGCTAGGAAGATCCCACAACTAACTCGAATGAACACCTTGAAACTGAAAGTTCATCAATTCAAATGTGAGAAGCTTACCCTGGCCAACCATAGCCATCTAATCAGGAACTCGATCCACCTTCTAAACTCCTCTGTGACAATAGCCCTTGATATTGTGATCATCAAATGTGTTCCTTCACCACTATTGTCCCTCCCCACTTTTTTGTAGACAAAAATGTACGCACCACCATTCGTCCACAGCCCTCTTCCTAGAGAGGAACATACCTTAAGGCTCATTTTTATATAGGGTAGCAATCAAATTCTAGATGCAGTAGAGTGAGAGAGAGGGTAGGGGGACGGGGGAGTGGAGAGAGTGTCCGAGAGGAGGGGGAACCCACTTATGTTACTCCTACAAAATTTTGGCATATCTTAATTTACGTACACCCGTAAAGGATAAAAACATTAATTTATAAAAGCTCCCAACCATACAAGAGCACATCAATACTTCAGGTATGTCTGGTGACCTAATTCACCTCAAAGCCCAATAAAGTCAGTGCATAAAATGTTCAACAATCTCCTCAACCGTCTACACATCACACAGAAATCACAGATGTGGAAAACTACTGTTCTTTAATATGACTGCAGCTTTTGAATACGATTGGTGCTATCAACTGTTCATCTAGTCTATAACTCTATATTTAAGTGCTTGACATCTGGATTTCTATTCTCTCTTCTTCTCTCCATTGTGAACTTTAGAATTCAGGAATTCATAAATAAAATGTTTACTACCACCTTCATTATGTGAAGTTTAGCTATCGGAATTCTATTCTCTCTTTGCTAAAGCTAAACTCTAGATTCAAGGGACTTCCTTGATACAATCAAATGTTTATATTTATTATGTAGAGTTAGCAATTGTGTAGGCCATGGGAAGTAGGTTTTTAAATTCTGAATTTTCGGTGTCCATCTTGAGCCTGTATTTCATCGTTTGCAGGTGTAGACAAGTTCGCATTTTAAATGAGGCTGTTGCCTCCATGTGACGGAAATTCAAGCTCCATGCCTTTAGGTCTCATAAACGCTAAACCAAAAAAACACTTAGAAAATGGAAGTTGAACTCGGAATGGGAAGATTAAGTCACAAAAAGTTTAGTATTAGCTGATTGTAATTGAATATGGTACTGAGATAACAAATACGCACCATGAACCCACATTCAGTAGCTGGCAATGTCTGCCTTTTAAACTTTTAAACTCATGTGAGAACCTTGTGGCTGTGCTTAGACTAAGCAGGCCTGCATTGGGGTATTGATAGCATGCTAGGAGTCTGGGCAGCTGCTAGATTTATGACTTAAAGAGTTCTGTGCTTCCTGCTAACTCTTGAATTTTTGCCGAGTAAGCATATTTTCATTCCTTATAAAAAGAAAAGCATATTTGGATTGATTGATAGTTAATAGATAAAATCCTCACTAGTAAGTTGCAGTCATATTCAAAATAGTAGTTACCGACAGGAAAGGTAAGACGACTAAAATAATTGACCAACCATACAGCAACGATACGCCATTGATGGAAATATTTCAAGAGACATTGTAAAACATAGAATGCAGTAGCGACACGAACATCATCAACATGTTAAGAGAAGGGTCTTATTGAAGCCACCATCTGGCATTATCCTGAATCTGGTGTTTCAAATCATAAGAAATGCTCACAGATTACAGTTTGCCAAAGTAATGAGTCCAAGGACTAAATCTCTATCTAATAAAAAGGCGAAGAAAACCAAATAAATAGTCCATAAGATACATCAAAACATGAAATTTGCAGAGAGACAACTGAAATAACCTTCCAACCTAGAAACGACAACTGAAATAACCTTTCAACCTAGAAACATAACTAGAGAGACATCCCTTTGAGCTAAGTACAGGTGACCTACATTTATCCTTCAGTAGCACGTACAATTGGTGTACCTGGGTAACGATAACAAGTCTCTGTACATCCTGATCATTGACATCTGTGTCATCCTCTTCTTCATCAGCCCTATTAGAATATAAGGCAGTTCAGAAGCAAAATCAATATCAAAAACGTGTTCAGCATAAGTCATATTGAACAAATTCATTTAATTGAGAGCAAGTAAATTAGAGGATGAAGATAAGGCCAATTACCTTTGGTGAAAATCAAGTTAGTACTAAACTAAACACACATAATCCAAGTGAATACAAGACAACTAATTTAGTAAATAATTATCCATGAAGAAGTGAATCTTCTCAAATAATGTGCAAAATAGATTGAAATTTGAGCACTTTTTGAACTTTGGAAAACAAAAGATATTTATCATATACTACAGCCACAAAATAATTATATCACATTTCAAAAGCTAAGTAACAAAAGGATGATAATAATCAATCTTCAGAAGCAAATACTTAACTGCATATAACCATAATCAATACCACATGACTGCGACGGGTGGATATAGCAGTATTCTGGTAAGAATAACTGGACATCATATATTCTAGAAACAGATTTTAATTAATAGATTAAAATGTGGTGGTCACATCCCTGACTACGTGATTGGCACATTTTAGCCCTCCATTAATGGGCCATACATGGCCCTCTTGGTGACAAAAGGAGACTTAATTAAACTTGTTTATTTGCTTATAAACTTAAGGGATAGTTAAGTGACTTTAGTCTTTTTTATGTCTCATAATAGGGGTATTTGAGTCTCTCTTTTTTGTCACATATGCATAAAACAAGTAGAAGGGGATGTCCAGCCCCTTCGCTGATTATTTTGCTGAGGAAAATTTTAAGAAACAACCTTTGAAATGACTTCGTTTGTCTCTTTACATCGAAAGCCCACTCGAGAACCCTACCCAAGACCATCTCAGATCATCTTCCCATCTTCTTAGGCACTGAGTGCCCTGAGGGAGCCCAGACCAATACGGTTTGAGCTGCATCACGCCTGGTTCCACAAAAGGCCTCTATCCTCAACCTTTTGTGGACCATTTGGTTGGAAGTTGGAAGAAAATAAACAGATCAATGAAGGAAGAGAATTAAACATCATGGCAATCAAGGACAACATCAAGGTCACAAGGATAGAGTGGGTGAGGTAACGTAAAGAGTAGAATACTTACCCTACATGTTACTAAATTGGAAAGCCATTACCAGGTCAACATCAATGTCTTCTCCTAGATCCTCTCACTGGTTTGCTCCAGAACCAAACACCATCAAACTTCACAGTTCACATAGATGGGTTCTCACATGATAATCTGGTGTTTGCATGAGTTGGTGGTGTTTTTGGAGAAAGCTTGGGTGCTATGCTTCTGTCCTATTCAAAACCATTAGGGGTGGCAATAGAGAACGTGTCAAAGATCATGCCCTCCTTGAAGGGCCTCAAATTGGCTCCTCCCAGCTTGTTGAAGGGTAAACAATTATTTACCACCCCAATAGACAATCCAACTGTCCTTCGAGACCAGAACTTGTGTTTGACCAAATCTTTGAGCTAAATAGATCCTTACACGTTTTACAACAGTACAATTGACACGATGCAAAAGCAGATACCCTTGCGAAAGAAGAGTTCAGTGCCCTAGTTTTGCAATTAACCACCCTTACCTGCCAAGGAAGGCGGATCATGCCCTATCTTTTGAATACAGTGTTCAAAACTCGCTAGAATTGGCTCCGACTCGGGTAAGTTACTACGAGCCTGGAATTGGGTAATTAAAGTACATTGTACATACTCGAGCAAGTACTGTACAAACTTGCCCGAGTACTGTGGAACTCAAGCAAACTTGGACGAGTCGCTACAGCACTAGCCCGAGTACTGTCTGCACACTGATTAAGTTTAAAAGGGGGGCCGAAATCTTCCCCCCTAATTTTCTTGATTACTTCAATTCTGAGGTTTAGGTTTTGCTCATTTGAGCCAAAATGGCATCCTTAGAAATATTTTTGCCTGATATGCCAATTCGGAATAATAAATTTGAAAAAAAAAAAAACTCAAGATTTCAGTCCTTTGACAAATTTTTAAGATGACAAAAAAACAAGTCAAGTTTTTGCCTAATTATGAAAATTTGTGATTTCTTCGCTCAATTTTTTATGTTAAATTCAATCCCTAAGCCTATATTTGTGCTCTTGATCCAACAATAGACTTGGCTTTCATAAAAGAATTTGTTGTTCATCCGAATTTTTTAAGAGCTTGGATCTACTAGATACAAACTCGTAACCTAAATCGATTTGAAGGTATTGATTTCAGCTGCCTAAGAAAAGTTTGAAAAGGATAGGAGGCATCAAGTCACATCGAAACCAAAGATCAGGGATCGGCCTCAAAAATTTGGCTATGTTTCATTGTTTTCAATTTAAATTCATCAACTTGATTTATTTTACTAAATCAAATATAACTGATTTATAATTCATTATGCATATCGTTGAATGTTTTTTACAGTGTTAAAAAACTCAGCCGAGTTGAAATGGACTCAGCCCGGTAACATGGCATCAGTTGTTGCCAAGACAAGCTCCCAAGACAAAATCAGCCATTAAAAAGGTCTTAAAAAATCATAATTTTAAGCTTTTAACGAAATCAATAATAAAAGATTGGATCATATGTTTATATATTGTTTACGGTTTTTATGATGATTTGTGAGTTTTTCTTATAATATGCTCTACTCTTTTTTTTCTGAATTATTTCAAGTCATAAATCTCTTTTTTTATTATTCCTTCTTACATGCATATTTTTTTCCTTTTTTATACTGTAATGTTGTTATTCCTTCTTCAACTTTTACCTATTTTTTTATTTTAACCTTTTCTTTTGGCTGTTTTGAGCGCTTTTGGGGCTCATACACTACTCAGGACTCGGATTCACCGAGTTACTCGGCTCAAACAGGGGCTGAGTTCCAAGCCCTATCCAAGTTTTTTAAAATAAATTGTTTCATGAGGGTGGACCGCATTTCTACATATGCGGTCCAGAAAGTATAAGGCATCCATCGTAAATGCAAGTAGGTATTCCATCTAAAAACAATGGAAACTAACAGTCCAAATGTTTTCTTACTAGAATTATTATT